CTCTTCCTCTTCCGACGATCCCCTCGAATCGGCGGGAGAGAAATGATCTCCGGAGCGGAGGAGGGCTGGATTTATAGGCGGACGCCGCCGGCGAAATGATAACGAAGCACCGCCATTGCTTCACTTCACAGGAAAAACCTTGAAGGGGGAACGAAGGGAAGGGCTCGCGAGGGCCTAAAAGGCGGTTCTTCTTTTCGGCCGCTCCGGTCCGGCCTAATTGTCTTCGTGGACCGACCGGTCAGTTACGGAGCCGTGGGTTCGAGCTAGAGGTGGCCACGGGCCGGTTTTGGCCCGGAACCGGACCGGAACCGGCCCGGTCAAACCCGGGCCCGCGGTTCGGAACCGGAACCGGCCCGTGGCATACGGTCCCGGTTCCGGTTCCTGAAAAACTTGAACCGGCCCGGAACCGGCGGTTCCGGGCCGGTTCTGCAAAAATAAAAAAAAAAAAAAAAAGCCTGCCGGTGCAGGCCACGCTGCAGCAGCCTGCACCCGCAGGAGAACGGGCCAACGGACGGCCCAACAAAAAAAAAAAAAAAATTTTGATTTATTTGCAGCAGGGCCTGCAGACGTGCAGGCCCTGCTGCGCCGCAGGCTTGCAGCCCGTTGGGGCAACGGCTACGCCCCAACGGGCATTTTGATAAAAAAAAAAAAAAAAAAAAACACATAACCGTTGCAATTTTGCAACGGTTATGTGTTTTTTTTTTAATTCTAAATTTTCTTCTATTTTTTTCCTATAAATTCTCTCAAATTCTCACAATACACACACAATTCTCTTAAATTCTCTCCAATTCTCTTCTCTCAAGTCTCAAATTTTCTCAATACTCGAAATTCTCTCAAATTCTCTGAAATTCTCTCAATTTTCTCAATCCACGCAATTCTTTCTTAATTCTCCCAATTAATCCGCTCAATTCTCTCAATCCATTCGAAAAATGGCAAGTGGAAGTCGAGTGCCAACTGGCAAAGGTAAGAATATCGCGACGGAATCCCATCATTCTTTTGATCCTCGTGAATATGCAGATTTTCAAGATGATGAAATCAACATTTTTCACGATGTGGAGCGCGTCCCGACGCAAGAAAGTTTTCATCGTCCTGCTGAAATATCTACAACAAAGGAAGCGGAACGGGAATTTACATCCGACATTTGGAATCACTTCACGAAAATGGAAAGGTTTGATATCGGTCAAAAAAGGTATGATATAATTTGTAAATATTGTGGAAAAATATATAAATATACAGGTGGACAAGGATATGGAACATTTAAACGACATCTTATGAGCAAACATCCAACTGAAACGGGAATCGATATCGGGCAACAACAAATTTCTAGGTACGTCAATCCTAACACTTCCCCTTTATTTCGTTTTAATGAAAAAACTTATAAGGAAGAATTAGGCAAATTTATTTCCGTTGAGCATTTAGCATTTAATTTTGGAGAAAGATTTGGTTTTAATGAATTTGTACAAAAAGCATGTGCTCCACAAGCAAAACGTGTTTCTAGAAATACAACTAAACGAGTAATTAAAGATCTTTACAAAAATGGAAAAAATGATTTACAAAACTTTTTTATGCAATTTAATGGATGCGTGCATATAGGTAGTGATATTTGGAGTGATCATTGGCAAAATCATTCTTACATGGGCATAACATGTCATTGGATAGATGACGAGTGGACTATTCAAAAAAGAGTTATTGCATTTAGAGTTTTCGATGATCATCATACGGCAAATAATATTTATAGACTAATTAGGCAAGTTTTAGAAGAATATTATTTGCTTAACAAAATTTTTTCAATTGGTTTTGATAATGCCGCAGCAAATACCGCTTCAATTGCCGAGTTAGAAAATATTTGTAAACCCGCTTTTGGTGGAAAATTTTTTCACATTAGATGTGCTTGTCATGTTTTAAATTTATGTGTACAAGATGGTTTGAAAACTCTTGATATTTTTCTTCAACCAATAAAAACGGCGATTCAATTTTTATGGAAACATCCCAAAAAAATGAAAGAATGGGGTAGATTTTGTAGAGATAATGGCAAAAAGCCAAAAAGATTTCCAAGAGATGTTTCAACTCGTTGGAATTCTACTTTCCACTTGCTTAGTGAATCTTTAGCATATAAAGATTTATTATGTGCATTCATTTCTAATAATATACCTGAGATTAATTTATACCCACAAGAGTGGCATATTTGCCAAAATTTTTTAGATCTTTTAAAGGTTTTTAATGATGCAACTTATACTTTGTCTGGTGTTTATTATCCTACTACACATTTATTTTTAGTAGAGTGTACTAATATTGTCGGAACTTTTGATGAATATGAAAATGATGTTGAATTACAACCTACTGTAGTTGCAATGAAAATGAAATGGCTTCATTATTATAGTGAAATTCCCATGATTTATTTAGTTGCTTGTGTTTTTGATCCGCGTTGCAAATTGGATGGCTTAAATGATTTTTTGCGTGCGTATTATCAATGTTTACATTATGATGTGACAAATGTTACAACCATAGTACGTGAGGTTAAAAACGTAGTAATAGAATTATATAATGAATTTTATACTAAATATAATTTAGGTGATATTAGATCTTCTCAATCTACGGAGATACAAAATGACAGTACAGGTAAAATTAGTAGAGGGTACCAACTTTTATTACATAGACAAAAAAAACAAAAGGGAGTAATAGGAAATATTTCGAATTAGAGAGTTATCTAACCATTTTATTTGAGTTCTTAAGCGAAGGTGGTACAGATTTTTTATTTTGGATTGGTGGAAGAGGCACGCAAGCCAATACCCAATCCTTTCTCTTATTGCAAAACAGATTTTTTCAACCCCTTGTTCTACGGTTGCGGTCGAACAAGCATTCGATCTTAGGAGGTAATATTTTGAACGAACATCGTTCAAGATTATATCCAGAATCGGTGGAGATGCAAGCTTGTGTTCTTGATTGGACGAAGGCTCAATATCGGCAACAAGAGATAGATCGGAATAATGAATCCGAATTCTTTAACGACGGAGATACTACCGCTACCACTATCGGTACTGGAACGGGTAGTGACGATTGAGGGTAAAAGAACTATTGGAGTTGGCAAATATTTCGGGAACTCTTGTTTCTCATACCGGGTACGCCCACGTGAGCTTAGGGAAACCGAAATATAATCCGACGATATGTGATCTCTGGTCCCCTGCGCACGGAATGCTTAGGTTTTGGGATAATTTTAGGGTATATATATTGTACTCCTTTTTTTTTAAGATCATTGTAACGAATTGTAATGTGCTTAATGATAATTTATTAAGTTGAAGCCCTCTCTTTCTCTCTTGTCTTTTTGTCCCCAAATTTGAGTACAATTTACATTTTAATCACAATTTATATTGAATAATGTTCTATCACAAGAATAGTATTTTTTTAATTTTTTTTATTTTCATTTCTGTTTTTCTTTTTTTTCTTTTCCTTTTCCTTTTCTGTTTTTCCTTTTTCTCTTTTGTCTTTTTTCCTTGTTTCTGTTTTTTAAAATTATAATTTATATTTTAATTTTTTTTTTCTTCCTCCGCGCCGCCGCGGCCATGGCCGGGGCCGCGCGCGGAGGTCGCCGGCGTCGGCGAGGCCTCGCCGGCGTCGGGCGAGGGCGGCCCTTGCTGGGGCGGGCGAGGCCTCGCCCGACGCGGCGAGGCTAGGCTTGGCCTCGCCTGCAACCGGCGAGGCTCGACCTCGCCGGCGTGGGCGAGGCCGGCCTCGCTGGGCCGGGCGAGGCCGGCCTCGCCCGACGCCGGCAAGGCTCGGCCTCGCTCGCCCGGCGAGGCTCGGCCTCGCCTCGCAACCGGCGAGGCTCGACCTCGCCGGCGTCGGGCGAGGGCCGGCCTCTCGCCCGACGCCGGCGAGGGCCGCCTCGCCTAGAGGCCGGCGACCTCCGCGCCGGCCCCGGCTATGGCCGGCCGCGGAGGAAGAAAAAAAAAAGAAAAGGAAAAGGAAAAGAAAAAAAAACAGAAAAAATAGGAACCGGCCCGGAACCGGTTCCGAACCGGAACCGGACCTGAACCGTACGGTTCCGGTTCACGCTTGGCCACGAACCGGAACTGGTCGGTTCCGAACCGTGGCCACCTCTAGCCTCATCAGACCGATACGTTGCTCCGTTAAATGAATTAATTGAGATAATTATTTAATGGATTTCACCATCAGATCTTATTTTGTGCCATTGAAGGAAGAACTAGCATCGCGATTGTTATACTGTTAGGAGAAAATTGCTAAGTTGATTGTTCGTCTGGTGAAAAAATTGCAAAACAAATGCATTAGATTGACGCGGGAAACTCATCCCCGCGAATCAGACGGATTGCCGTGGGAAAAGAAAACCGGTGCTGACCAGACTGTGCTCACTTGGAAAAATGACAACGATCAGGCATCGTTTGTCGAGCGGAAAATGAAAGATTTAAAAAACATTTTCTTAAAAATGACCGCTTTTGTATCGCTTAAAAAAAATGAATGAATAAAAAATATTTTCATCGATAATGAAAATAATTTCCATTGATTAATTATTTTGAACAATACGAGCGATCATTTTTAAGAAAATGTTTTCCAGATCATTCTTTTACTGCAAAATAAACGGAGCCGAAATTGGATAACTATAATTTAGGGGTCACACTGAACTTGAACAAAAAAGTGCAAGGATGAAATTCAGCAAAATAAAAGTTAGAGGGAGGGAAAATGGCACAAATCGTACTTGAACTTTAGCTCGATATGTAGTGTAGTCATTGAACTTTTAATTTGTTTAATATACATTGAATATTTTCGTATCATTCGGAGATATACCAAAAGTCCAGGGATTATATTGAATATTTGGCTAAAGTTCAAGGATCACATTGAACAAATTAAAAGTTCAGAGATTATACTGCATGTTGTGCCGAAGTTCACGAATTGTTTGTGTCATTTTTCCATGTATGGACTAAATTGAACATTACAAAAAAGTATGAGGACCACTTTTAAATCGTCGTAAGTCAAATTAAGAACCAGTGAGCGCTAGTGCGTCGCATCGTGCTCCTCTGCACACCACAAAATCCATCAGCAAGATCCTTCCAGTTCCAGTTCTCTTCTCCGCGCCTCATCGAAGCGAAACATCAATCGCCGACGAACCTGCATGGCCGCGACGCTTCGATCCCCCGTTCCGCCTTCTTCTCCGTCTTCCTCCTTCCCTCTCGCGTCGCCTCCACACGGCCTGCCCGCTCGTCTAGCAGCTCCTCCGAGACGGCGGCGGAGGCGGCTCCCCGGGTCCGCTTCCGCCTCCAGAGCGTCGTGGCAAGAGGTAACGATTTTACCTGATTCCGTGAACTCTTTTTTCTTAAAGGGCGAAAAATGGCGTCGATGGCTTACTTTTATTGTCCGTGAAGCTCGCCGGCGTTCTGGTGTTCTCGGCGATTCCGTTCACGGCGGTGAAGGCGATCGCCAACAGTCCGTTGGGAGAATCGCTGCAGCGGCGGATGGAGGAGAGGAAGAAGGTCGCGGCGGAGAACTCGTCCAAGTTCCGGGCGCTCGCTGAGAAGGCGAGGAAAGAGAGGTAATCGTCCACGGTAAGCCGGTGATTTCCCCTGTTGTCGGTTCTTGCTCGTGGAAGGTTGCCGTATAGGTGCTGAGATCATTGTCCTCGATTTTGTCCGGATTTGATCGACTGTGGATACGTTGGAACCGTCTGTGGGAATTTTCGACCGGATGATTTCTTTTCATGGTTGCATTTATCGGCTTCTGCTTTTGGACTATTAGAAATAATAGGAAACCGAACCAGTTAGCTTCAAGTGCGTAGATAAGTATCCTTCCATGAAAATGGAAAGCATGCGCAGTAGAGAAACATCTTGCATCACGTGCTTAGCAATATAGTGCAGAAAACTTGGATTCGATTTATCTCGTGTTTGGGAGCTGGCATATTGAGCTCGGGTTGTTTTTAGAACAATTTGAGAGGAAGTGCTTCGTTTTACAGCTGGCTTTAGCTGCAAATAGACCAAGGAAATTATCAGATCAACGAAGCCATGATGCTCCAACGGCGATGCATGCTGGACCTATGTACTTATTGGTGAAAAATAGTTTGCCGAATCCATAGATACAGTTAATGCTTCTCCATACTGCAATGTAATCCCTTCTGCTGTCCTCCTCCCACGACAAATGCATCTCTTGGCACGGTCCAAAATTTGAAATAGTACATTTCTCAAAGAATTGCTTCTATGGGATTAAGCTTTTTGTAGTTGATAATTGATGCTTGTGACAGAAAGCTTGTAGTCTTCCAGCTTTTCTATGTAAATAACTGGAGAAAGATCAGTAATGGCACGGGATTATCAGATTGTTGATCATTATTTTGGATGTTTCGCATATGGTATCTATATTCAGTCTTTCCTATACGACTAGTATGGAGATACCATTTTACTTGCTTCAAACTGGCAGTCATTCTTGCTATATTATATGAGCGGGCTAGGCCAAATTACATCTTGAAATGAGTTTTTAACCATCCTTATGATCTTAATTACATTCAAACATGCAAATCTCCCTCTATGACTAGAAGACCCATATATATTTCGGAAAGATCACTTGCCATATTCAGTGCTGACATAGGTTATTCTTGTGTATGTCTTCCAAGATGGTTTATCCTTGACAAGACGTAATGGTTTTGGGTTTGTTTCATAGCTTCCATTCTCCGCTTGCCTATCTAGAATTTGTAAACGAGGTGCATTTACAGAAACATTGGGCCATGATGGTGCTGTTTAGGGGTGAGCATGATTCCAAGTTCTACCTTGGAACCTGAGAACCTGACCGGTGGGAACCTGTAGGTTCCAGGTTCCAAGGTATGCAAGATAGGTTTCAGGTTCCAAAAATTGGGAAACCTGTTTCAACGGGTAGGTTCCAAGTTCTAGGTAGGTGGAACCTGAAACCTGAAACCTAAACAGTTTTTTGTATTTTTTTCTTTGTTTATGTCTTCACGTAATCCTGTGGTGTTTCATGGCATTAGATGATGAGTGTATAATCTGAAATCACTAGTCTGAGCTTTCATTTTATGATTTGTTAATGTTTCATATTTTTCGTGTGTCTAAATATAAGTTGTGGTAAGTGGATCATAGCAGCAGGTGGTGGTCATTAAAAGTGATGATTTATTGCAATTGTTCAATTAATAATACAGGTGGAACCTAGGTAAGCCCTAGAACCAACCTGGAACTTGTGATAAGATAGGTTCCAAATTCCAAAAAATGATGAATCTATTCTCATGGGTAGGTTCAGGTGGAACTTGTACGGAACATGAAACCACTCACCCCTAGTATCGATTCTCATTTTAATTGTGTTTATTTGAACCGTAATGCCAGGAAAACTAGTCTTTTGTATTCTCTTTGGTGAATGACAAACTTGTTCAATATTGTTGCGTTTATTTTCGTTTTGTTTAACTAAAAATGAAACAAAAAAAAGAACCCGTTAGACCCTGGAACCTACCCCGGAGGTTCCAGGTTCCAAGTTCCGACGGGAATGTTCCAGGTTCTAAAAAATGAGAAACTTGTACCTGAGGGTAGGTTCCAGGTTCCAGGTTCCAGGTGAAACTTGTAAGGAACCTGGAACCGCTCACCCCTAGTGATGTTTTGTCCATTTTCTTTGTACAATAAACCTTCTTAGTTTGCGGCAACTTTTCTGCTTGGCTTACCGTTTTCTATTTCATTTTCTGACTTAAGGTTGATAGAAATGAGTCATAACGTGAGCTCCGACTTTTGAAACTCTATCCCGAACTTGCTTAAAAGTCAAAGTGGACAGATTGTACTTTATCAGTTTCTGTTTTGTGCGTACTAACTCCTGAATATTTCATTTTTGCTATCAAACAGTTCATGGTACGGGGAGGACCGCCCTCAATGGCTTGGGCCAATCCCATATGATTATCCGGCATATCTTACTGGTGAATATCCTGGCGATTATGGGTTTGACATCGCAGGTCTCGCCAGGGATCCCACTGCTTTTGAGAAGTTCTTCAAGTATGTAACATGACAATTTTTGTGTCTTTCTTCTCTGATGCCTCTTCATGAGTACTTCTCATGTCTATCTGGTGGTACTTATAGTAAATCTGTATTTCACTTTCGAAAAGTAATATTTCTTTTTCTGAAATGTGGAAAACATGAGCTATTATCTTGTGATTAGTGTTTACGGCATCTTGCCCAAGCTCAATCAACCATCTCAAATGTATGAGTTGTGATATATAATTAGCTTCTTTGCTCCCCGTGACTGTAATTCCAGCGCTTCTGATTTAGCAAGCTATCATGTCATCCCTCATGGCCAAATGATATAGATGGTTTTGAGTTATCATTCGGATCTGTTGTTAATGATATAGATGGTTTTGAGTTATCATTCGGATCTGTTGTTAATGATATAGATGGTTTTGAGTTATCATTCGGATCTGTTGTTCCTTTAAGGACGTGTTATATTGTACGCAGCTTCGAAATACTGCATGCACGCTGGGCTATGCTTGCAGCACTTGGTGCTCTTGTTCCTGAAGTATTAGACATAGTGGGAGCTTTTCACTTTGTAGAACCTGTCTGGTGGCGAGTTGGTTACTCAAAGCTGAAGGTTTGCATCTTCTCTTGGCACGTATTACTCCCATCTATAATCTATTTATATTTTTTTGCTGCTAAGTTCATCAACTGAAGCTCCTACCTGTAATCTTGCTCGGTAGATGCTTAATGAACAATGCAGTGTCTTGTTCTGATGGCCTACTGACTCTGGGTAGAGCTCCATTGATCGTTCAACCAGTCAAGATGAATAAAATTATCAACCACCCTCCGCCCCTCTCTTTCCCTCTCTCCGAGGCAAATAAAGTCCAGCTGATTTTGCACTTCTTTGTTGGGAGTTCTGCAATCCCCGGCCCCTAGTTTATATGTGGATATGATTGAAAAGGATTTACTTCCCCTTGTTTAGAATTTATGGAGATTCCTACCTCTGGGTTTGCTTTAGGACTATGAGTGAGAATGGTATAATTAATGACATGCGAGTTACATTTTTAAGTTCTTGTTGCGTGTAATATCTTTATTTGCTAAATAACTGCTATTCCTCTTTTGCTTACTCGAGAATCTTCCCTTCATTTCCTTGCATGACCTCAGACTTATCTTCTGACTCCCTACAAGCAGACTATTATATACCTCAAAAGACTTTTGAATTTTGTTCTCTTATTTTAGTAAGCTTAGCAGTTTTGTACATGTTTATTGCTGCAATGTCCATGGTACAATGCTAAATTGTGATCTGGATCTAATATATCCATTACCTTCATCAATGTGTATAGTTTTTCTAGCAAATAAGTGGAACATAGTGATTTTTCCTATATGTTTCTTTTAATTTTGCTTTGACAAGATTTGCTTGCAGCACATGACAGACATAGTTTGCCTCACATTTTCATGATACCAGGGCGATACACTGGACTACTTGGGGATACCTGGACTCCATATAGCTGGAAGCCAGGGGGTGATTGTGATAGCTATATGCCAGGCCCTTTTAATGGTAAGAACCATATCTAGCACTTGCTTCTTTTTTTCCCGCAAGATATGCCAGTACTTTTCTTCTTCACTTGCAATTATTATGTATAATTTTCCTGCAAATATTATTGATAAACAAGCCTTAGTTGGATAATTTGAAGAGTCAAAATTGGTCATGCACTTTGAGAAAGTATTTATGTGATGGAACACCACGTGGAAGTGACGACATGGGGTAATCGATGAATTGCCGTTGCCCGCCTGTTACGAATCTTATCCTACTTGGCGCCTTGTATGTATGCGTCTCTCTTTTTATTGATTGACCATGGGGTGTATCCATCATATAAATTAAAAAGAAAGACAATGATATCATTGTGCCTTTATTTGAAGATTGCAATTTTGTTAGAATACATTTCTTTCGCTCACTGAGGAGATTCTTTGTTGCATCCTTGTCTGGTGTAAAGCATTTTTTGGGTGTGTGTTTGTGTGTGGGGTGGGGGTTTGGGAGGGAGAGGTAAGTAACATGTAACTTGATCTTGTAAGCATTCATTGCCAATCTCTGGCCTACAAATATGCCACCTAGTATCCTATAATTTTAAACAATTACAGATATTCCAATACAAGTTTTATAGGGTACCATGGAAAGTTTATTAGTTGGAATTGTTTGTGAGACTCATCGAATTTTGTTAAGAATTCAAAGCTTTTACGTTTTGAATGCTCCTACTGCTTTTTTCAATAGGTTGGACCAGAATATGCGAGGTATTGTGGCATTGAAGCTTTGGAGCCTCTAGGAATTTACTTGCCAGGCGATATTAATTATCCAGGGGGAGCCCTCTTTGACCCCTTGAACCTGTCCAAGGACCCAGCAACTTTTGAGGAGCTGAAGGTGAAAGAAATAAAGAACGGGCGCTTGGCTATGGTGGCCTGGTTGGGGTTTTACGTCCAAGCAGCTTTGACAGGTAAAGGACCCATACAGAACCTACTCGAGCATATCTCAGATCCGTTACACAATAATCTTTTCTCGGTGCTTAAAGGGATGTAAAGCATTAGTCCAAACATGTAAATATCACGAGTTGAGGTTTTCAAGTGGACTTATACTAGGGAATAAAAGTTTCTTCTCGCTTTGTGGCTATTGTGAGCATTGAATTATCAAAGCTTCTGACGGAGGAGATGGCAATATCTTACGCGAGAAATCGCATTAGATTTTGCCTAGGTAGAGCATTCTAGCAATTGTGAGTTTCTCTTGACCATGCAAATTCTGATATCTTCTTTATTCGTCACTGCATATTCGAATAGTGCAAGGTTGTAGCAGGCATCATTGAAGCAGGTACATGTCCAACTTTAAGTTTTGTGCACAGTCCCCTGAATCTAATCACATGCCGCACATGCAAATCATGTTCTTCTTGAATATTTCAGTAGCGGCATAACAGTCTAGGCTTCGAGTCCCAGGACATGTGGCGTCCATATTCAACCGTATCCCCCAAGATGGATCAGCATCTCACGGATCGACGTGCCCCACGGGCATCACCTTCCTACTCTTTCCCTAGGCTAAAAAGCTTTCATATACTGTTTTTAAGTGTCAGGTGTCGAGGGTCGAGTGCGGCCGTCACTCTTGAAGCAATGGAGATCAGCCAATTCCTGTACTATGTTCGGATTCCATCATTCCCTCATCGTTTTAGTCTTCTGAGAAGTGAGAAGCTCCTGTGGCAAGAGGAGTATACGGCCGTTCGATTCTCGCCGCTCCACACAATCTCTCTCCTTCGTCTTTTGGGCGGGTCGCTTCAGGTCCATCGACCTAATCATCACCTCAACCTCTGCGTACCCGACCATCCGGTTTTCCTCTTCCTCTTCCCATTTGGACATTTTCCACGACGCCCTCCCTTTAAAGTCAGTCCCTAAGGAAGCTGATGTTTCGGCCCGGTAGTCGTCCCCGTCGCTTGATAATTACCCATTAATAATCTGATGCACAAGACACGGGATAGCTCTCAGTCGCACACCTCACCTTGTTCTCGCTTCTAATGTTCGGCACAAACATGCCGGAAAGGATAAGACGATTCTGTTTACGCGTCGCGACATGACAAGGCCGTTCTAGGTCCCCTCTTCTCCACTCGATAACTCAATACCTCCTAGTGGAGCAGGAATGAGATACTACTCCCCATTGTCTAGTCCCAAACTTGCAAAATTAGAAAAGAAACGAAACTCCACGCTTTTGTCCTTTGCGTGCTGAATGCTCGTTAGGGATAAGAACGACATTGAAGGGAAAACGTTCCGCCCTTTCGATCCGAACACGGAAACTCTTGGCACCGGCAGAAGAAAAAAAGGAGAGAAAAAGAGAGAGGGGAAGAAACAGCTGTTCACCTCACGATGGGACTCCTCTTTTTGTCTCCTATCGTTTCGGTAAAAAAGTCCAAGTAAATGTCCCAATCGGCAGCAATTCGAGGCTCGCGCAACGAAAGAAAACAAGATCGAAAATCGTCGGTTCGGTCGTGAAGGAGGCGAGCTTTTTTCACGGTCGCGGTGTGGGTATTTGACGAGGCTCTTAAGCTGCAATTGACATTGTCTTCCTCCCGTACACACGCCCCCCCCAAAGGACAGAGCGACACCTGTCTGGAGCGCACCAAACGGAAGACCGATACTTCAAGGAAGCATACCTCTACTTTCCATTTGTTTAGTCAAGTTTCTCCGCTGTCCAAATTCAGCCGATGTGGCTCTTGGATGGCGCCAAAGTATAATGCGGATAAAATAAGTGGATGAACACTCGGACATTGGTTCGAGCCAATGTAAACTATGTCGATTCGTGTTTGGAATGTCCAATTGGTAAAAAAAAATTATGCACGTCGCGCTACGATGTGTCCCGCGGCCTTATCAAATTGAATTTGGTCGGATATGATGTCGGAAAGAGTTGATTACACAAATTAACGGTACATGAGCATGCGCTTTTATTAAATCCTCTTGGGTTTTCATTTTTTGCCATAGAGGGTGGTGTTGTCTTTAATATCTCGAACCACATACGCGAATAGTATTTGTGCAACTAACGAAGAGTTTCCCTTCGAAAAGTATAATATCTTGTGAGATTCCCCCCTTGCTTTTTTTTGTGGGCGCTTAAAAAAATCGCATATAGTAAATTGATAAGCATCGCTAATCGGACACAAGAAAGTAATTAGTATATATAGGATAGCCAAAGAGTAGAGTATACCCATTTGAAAGGGCGAGAATTAATAACAGAATCTACTTATGTACGTATTATCTATCTATACTGTGAAATATTTATCCCAAAAATACTTCCAACTTCGAACTTTTCGATAATTGGGCCATTGCATATATCTTTATAAACACGAAATTTCAATTAATTCTTCTCCAAATCTACGACACGTAATTTTACTCCATGAAGTAATCGAAAGCATACCTTCTTTCTTAGAAATTCCTTCTCCATTCCTTCCGCGCGCAATTATAGATGTGTTCGCCCTTCTTCCTAGTCTCCCTTGTTTTTTTTCCTAGTCTCTTTTTCCATGTCTCTAGTAGCTTATCAAAAATTCACGAACTTAACGGACTCATCAATCCCAAAAACGCACCACGTTCGGGCACCTACCATGGAATTTACACTAGGGAAAAATGCGTGCTGATGTGACTCGGGGTCGATCGAGCAGCAGCCTCTTTGGAAAATTAGCAAAAGGCGAAATCGATATTTTTAAAACCTCAAGTCTTTATCCAAATCGCGATTAGGGAATCGCATCACATGTCGAATAAGGCTCCAAAAGCAAACCCCTCTTTCGGTCGGCAGCATCGAGTGGAAAGCTTTTTGGACAGCAGCAAGATTAGGTGTCCGGCTTCAAACGTTGCCGACTCGGTCCAGGACGTCGCATCGAACATGACACCGATGATGACGCACGTCCTTGAACTCACGTCGGCGATGACGACCCCCCCGTCGACGACTAATTCAATCGGTCACCTTCCCGAGCAAGGCAACTCTTTTTGACCATTCGGAAAGCATCGTTTCAAATCGGGTGCAAAACTTTTGAGAAACTTCCCTTCGAATTGGTTTCGGATTCTTAAGATATCATGTAATTCACGAGGAAAAGCTTTGTTCCACGTGACCCTCCAATTCGTCGGTAGCCAGAACGCCGGCGGCACGGCGAAGAACGCATGCATTCCGCGCGCCTTCTTGGGGCCTCTTTAGTCCGGGAAAATTATGAGATTTGACTCGAAAGCACTCGAGTCATGCAAGAAAACGTCGCGCCGAGTTCGCATCGGTCCATGATATGCTCAATGCATCCCTCGTTCCATGCCCACACTAATTTTCCGTGGATAAAGGTGGAAATCTTAGAATGAGAAAATTTCCCCTTTCTTTCCTCTTCTGATCTATCCTTTACTAGGGAGTTTTGAGTCAATCGTACGTGATTCGCGTACAGGGTCGAATCTCATATTTTCTGGACTAAACACACCCTCGGAATGCACGCGAAACGTACACGTGATCGTGTTCGCCGTCCGATCAACATTTTGGCCGCGACGTGCCGAGAGTCACTTGGAACGGAGCCGGCCCGCTACGGGAGCTATTTGGACCAATGTCAAAGCCTCTAGAATACTTTGAAAATCTGGCCCCAATTCAAAGGTACATCTTGGAAATTTCCCCCATTTGAAAATCCTAATGTTTTTGTATGAAAGACGTTTGAAATGGACGATCAACGGTGGTGACGGTGAGAGCGTACCGGGGTGAGGATGCTTGGCTATCGTGTTACCAAAACATCCAATGATTTAACTTTCCAATCGTAACAAAATTTGTTGATACTACCTACTTAATTTTTCACCATTTCATCTGCCTCGTTCGACTTCAAAGCATCCTTCATTCATATCTCGCAAGCGCCGGCTCGTCGGTGTCCTTGGCCAGATCAAGCCAAGGGTCGCACGACCCTCAATAATAACATCGCTTGTCCCGGCGCAACCCTCGGCGAAGCTTTACCGGCGTTGCTCGACCTCCTGACGAGGCTCCTCCAGCCACCGCCACAATCCTCTCCGCCACATTGGTTGAGGGTCAAATCTAGAATTCCGTCACTTTAGCGAGCGCAAGACCGGAAGACAAAAAATTTTTTAAAAAATACATACACACAGTAAACCCCTTTAAGTTGCCTTTCGAAAATCGGCCTAATTCCAAAAAAAAAAACACCAACTTTAGGTCGAAAGATAATTATGGCCTGAACTTTTTTTTGTCCCATAAAAAAAACATAAATTTTAGGTTGAGGGATAATTCTTACCCGAACCTTTTTTTGTCCCGTAAAAGAGCACCAACTTTAGGTCGAGTGACAATTCTGACCCCAATTTTTTTTTGAGTCTCATAAAAAATCACCAACTTTCACCATGATCCCAAAATCTGGCTCCTCGTTGACTTTCTGTCTGAAGTCACCGTTGTTTGAGGAAAAAAGTTATGGTGGTGAACTTTGCGAATCTCGTCCATGGCGTCTGTCGACAGGTGGTGGTCAGCTTCAGATTACGTATGGCCAGAGAAATTCAATCTGGAGATATTTTTTACTTGCCGGTGAAGTGAACGAGATGAACAGTTTCACCGTTATTCTTCAAATTGTGGCTCGGAGAATAAGATGATGAATATTGCTTTAAATCTAATCAGCAAACCACGCGGATTTATTGCTAAGGTGGAATAATCAAGTTAGATAATAATGGGTTCTAAGTCAATGGGGGCCAGATTTGAAATTTTAGTGAAGATTTGTTCTTATTTACAAGATAAAAAAAAGTTTGGGCCAGAATTGTCACTGAACCTAAAGTTGATGCTTTTTTACGGGACAAAAAAAGGTTCGGGCCATAATTATCCCTCGACTTAAAATTTACACTTTTTTTTTGTAATTAACCCTTCGAAAATGCTCGAAATCCAAAGCACGGGATGCCTATCTTGAGCTCGAAGTTAACTCCAAACAAGTTCCCCCAAAAAAACCCCCAAAATAGAACTTTGGCAGAATATGGAGTTTTTCACACAAAGCATCCTTGGGAAGAGCGTGACAAAGGAAAGACCGGAGCGATTTCGTCACTGACTTTGGAGCCCGCCGATCCAATCGCAGCGCGACAGGTGTCGCCATCTCGCGGCACCCGTCAAAGACGGGGGAGGAAACAACGTTGTCCTCCGCC